CTTCACTTGAGTTCAAGTTAGGTCTGGTCTGTGCCTTTAATATTTAGATTTTGTGAACTTACTATTTCAATTGAGGGTTTCCTTTCAAACTGTTCCTCTGTGTTTAAAATTATAAAATATATATTACAGTTATGATTAAACACATTTATGTTCACTCTGAGTTTTGGGAACCATTCTTTTTTAACCTGATAATCAAACTTAGTACAGACTTACAGAAAAAAAAAAATTTATTAAAAAAAAAAAACTAAGACTAACTGAAGCCATTTAAAACAAGGGGCCAGGGGCTGGGGATGTGGTTCAAGTGGTAGCACGCTCACCTGGCATGCATGAGGCACTGGGTCCGATCCTTAGCACCACATAAAACTAAATAAGTGAAATAAAGGTATTGTGCTCAACTACAACTAAAAAATAAATATTTTTAAAAAATAAAAGTAAAACAAGGGGCCAAAAGTAGAGTTTATTATTTTAATGAATTGCACTGTTGTAAATTTGAGTTGGTCTAGTACATGGCAATCATTTGTTTCCAAGGCACTCTCAAACGGTTTCTTTCAAAAGAGTCATGTCATGTAATTAAAGATTTTTATTTCATTTCACTTACATAGCAACTTATTTCCCCTGGGAATAAAATTTACATTTTAAAACACCTGGTATGGTTTCACTGCAAATCTTAAAGTAAATTGATCTGCTGTGTTAAATAGTGGTATGGCATCCGAGAAGGAAAGCATTGGAAACCTGGACTCTGTAATAGGAGGAAAAGCCATTTACTAAATCACTGTAGATTACCAGCCTTCCCTTCCCACAAGAAATAAAAAGTACACATTAATATCCTTCTAGTTTCTAATCTATTAGGTTCTTTGTGATTATAGAAAAACATAATTTTATGATTTGTTAAAATTTTATGTCTAATGTTAAAATGTGGGACATTTTATCTTTATTCTAATTAAATCCACAATGTTTTTACAAAATTTGAAAAAGTCAGTAAAGAGAACAAATGAATTAGTAAAAATATAATTTCTTACCAAATCATATGATGCTAAAATTCTGTAATACTTGTGTGCTTCCTGTAAATCTTCAAATAATTCCCAATAATTTTTAGATCAAAGTGCTATTTCCAGTCCCTCCTAAACTTTGAAACAAATTTTTTGCATTCCTTCCAAAAGAAACAAAATGGCAAATACGGCTCTAGTTTAACAGAAATCTTGAGTTGATATTTCTTAACATCTATTTATTTAAACTGCCTGCTTTCTCCAGTCTAAGCAGTAAAAAGTGATTTCTTTAAAAGCTGAATTTAACTGGACTGTAACTCTATTGTAGCCCTCCATTTTCTAAGAATTTACTAAAATATCTCTGTGGCATACTTCAAGCTTACTTTTTTCTGCCTTTAAAAAATCTACTTTATGGAAGTATAATTGACATGCAATCAACAGCACATATTTAAGTGTTCAATTTGATTAGTATTGAATACAAACATATCCATGAAACCATCACCAAACATTTCCATTCTCCCAAGTTTCCTCACGTTCTTGTAATCTATATCTTCTTCCACCGAAGTCTAGCATCCACTAATCTAGTTTCTGTCACTACAGATTAGTTGGCTTTTGAATCATATATTATGTGCCTTTTCCATAAGTTTCTTTCCATAAGCATAATTATATTGAGATTCATCCATTCTGTTGTATGTAGCGATGGATTGTTCCTTTTCATTTCTGAATGTTATTCCATATTGCAGATATACCACAATTTGTTTAGCTATTCACCTCCTGAGGGACACTGGCTTATTTCTGGGTTTGGAACATTACAAATAAATGCTATGTACATTTGTAAAGAAGTCTTCAGGTGAACCTATGTTCTCATTGCTCTTAAATATAGATCCAGAATTGGAATGTCTGGATAGCATGGTAAAGTATTCTCAACTTTAAAACAAAGTGTTTCCCAAAATGTCTGTGCCCTTTTACATTTCCAGAAACTGTTGTGGAGATCTGTGGGGGCACATCAAGCTTCCTAATAGAAGATTTATAAGTTACCGCAAATCCTTATCTCAAATCCTCACAGCACCCTTAAAGAAAATGGTATAACCTCATTTTACACATTAAAAAATTTATGGGATCCTAATTAGAATAAGACATATTCTATACTTGTATAAATATATCAAAATATAAGTTCTACTGTCATGAAAAATAACCAATAATTTTTTAAAAATTGAGACTTAATTCCATGTCATTAAGAAATAGAGTTGGTATTAAAACCCAATCTACTGAGTCCAAATCAATTTGGGGTTCTGATTTGGTTTTGGTTTCAGTCTTGATTTTTCTTTTCCTTAGCCTCCCTCCTCACTGGCTGTAATACCAACCACTAAAACATGCTACTTCTTGAATTAAAATGGAGATTGGAGATTAAAATCATTTGGAATTGCATTCAGAAAAGCATTTAACAGGGCTGGAGATGTAGCATGACAGAGCATTTGCCTGGCATGAGAGAGGCCCTGGGTTTAATCCCCAGTGCACCATGGGGGAGGAAGGAAGGAAAAACACCAGGAAAAAATATATATATATATATATATATCTTTTAGTGAAAAATTAATAAAAATAAAAGTTATAAATGGGAAAGACAGTGAGAAAAGAAAATTAGCTCCAGCTCCCTTCAGTGTTCTGCCAGGTAATCCAGTATTCAAATGAAGGAATAAGGAATTGGGATTCTTAGTGCATATGTGACGAG